CTGGAGTTGGAGCTGGCACAGACCAAACTGCAACTTGTGGAGGCCAAGTGCCGCATCCAGGTCAGGAGCACTATGCAGTGATGATGTTACAACGTGTACAGTTAATGTGAGAGTTATAATTGCTGGGGAATGTACCACGACCACCTTAAAAAACTACAAATACTTAGAATTACTAAAACATACAGACAAGAAACAGGACCAATTAAAGCACTTGTCTCCACCCCAGAGAGAGAAATATATTTTTTAAGTTTGGATAACAATTGTTAAAATCCACATAGGAGGTGAGTGTGTTAAAATAATCATGATATATCCATAGTGTTCTCCTTCTGACTCCTCTCTGCTCCTGTTGCTGACACCTCTCCTCCTCTCGTCTCTCTGCAGGAGCTCGAGCACCAACGGGGACTCCTGATGAACGAGATCCAGGCAGCCAAGAACTCGTGGCTCAGCAAGACTCTGGGCTCACTTAAGAGCTCTGCCTCCTCCTCCTCCTCCTCTTCCTCCTCCTCCTCATGCTCCACGTCCCAGACCCCGTCCTCTCCAAAGGAGGGCCCTGCCTAGGCCAACGCTTCCCTCCATCTCTGTCCTCGCCCGAGCGGGAAGGAGAAGGAGCGGATGAGAGGATGCAGTATTCCTTTTTTCTAGCAGGTGGAAAGGCAGAGCTTGTTGCTCTGAGCTTGTTGCTCTGCCTTTCCAGATCTGCTTCTTGGACTGCAGAAATCTGAAAAAATGAGCAAAGGGACAGGCGGAGGACTGGACAAAGCCGCCTGTCTGTCACTTCATGTTTACATTTCAGTGTCTGCTTCAAAGGTGATGAGACAGCTGACTGATTTGGGAATCAGATTTAAAGTTTGTTTTAAGTTCGGCATTTGCGGAGGAAACTTCTTTTTAGGGTTTGATGCCTAAATTTAACAGAACACTGAATTGATATTCAAACATATAGATGCTGTCAACCCTCTCATAGGTCAATAATTTAGCTCCACCTAGTGGCCAGACATTGCTACTGCAGAGTCGTAATCTTGCATATGAGGGAGATTGTTGTCAGGGTTTTACCTACATCTGGTCACACAATAGGAAGAATATGTCGAGTGAAAGTGTCATGGCTGCAGCTGCAAAGAGAAATAGAGTCTGAAAAAACCACAGCACCCTGAAAAAGGGAATACTGCATTCAGATTCTTCAACAAGAACAACACAAAAAGTTCTTTTGTTTATAGTAATATAACATCAACAATGTTGTCATATAAATATGTATAACTAATTATTGATTTTTGTAATAATCTTGTACAGTTCTTTAAGAGAAGAGAAACACACAAGGAAGAGTTCTTTGTTAATTTTTTTTTATTACTGTTTGGAAATGTTGAATGTCATCTCTCTAGAAGTTGATGTAAGCACAGTGTGTGATCGATGTGGTCGAGTCCAATCGCTGCCGAGCAAAAGTGACAACCTGCAGAGATGTTTTTGTGATCAGTGTTCCTCCTCCTCGTTCAGCCATGGGTTAAAGTAAATACTGCAAATATACATCCAGATACAGATTTCTTTAACTCCTAGTTCCAGGTCATGAGACTGTGTGTAATTTAGGCTTCTTTTACCTCCAGGTTTTAAAAATGCAGCCATCTATTTGAGCACAGTGCGGTCAGCTGTGATCAGAACAGAAACGGGCTCCCTTCCTACTCCGTCTCTGTTCTGGCCCTTTTATAAGTGGACTGATTTTATTTGGAATAAGCATAAAAGTGTCAAAGTCTTCAATATTCTTTTGAAACTGTACACAACCTATAGATTGACCTTGGTTGTATTTTTTTGTGGTGAAAATGTTTTTAAACAAGCTCTGTTTTAGAACCACACATCTCTGGCGTCTGGTGAGAAATCAGAGCTTTTTTGTCACTAAGAAGAAGCCAATTTTCCCGTCTTTAATCCATCCCAGACTTTAAAAAAAAATGGCTTTCACAGGGTGTGATAATCTATCACAGTAATCATGGAGAAATAGTGTCTCTCTTTTAGCTAACAACACCCACTGGAAGTCATTATTCAATAAACAACTAGCTAAACTTTAATCAGCTAGATTAAGTTGTGTTGCCCAACAAACATTGCCAAATTCTCCTAAAGCCATTTGCACAGCTGTGCCATCCAACTTGTCTGCTCTTTATCGTGTCAAAAATCCACCTTTTTTAAAAAGTTCCTCACACAATGAGAACAGTATGTGATTCTATAGTCTTCCCTGCGTCCATGTTCAACTGCTTGCTCTGTTGCTTAGTGCTAACACTTCAATAGAAGCTGTATTAAACTCTAGCTGCATACTGATGGTTTATTGAAAGTTAAAAACAATATCAAGTCCAAAGCTGAATTAAAAAAACTGGTCTTAAATGATACATGGATTGGATCACTCTGTCTGAACCTCGGTACAGTACGAGTGAGATGACCAGCAGACGGTGTTTCATGTAAACTAGTTTAAAGATCCACTTAATGAGCTGACATTTTCAAAGGAAAAACAACAAATGCAAGGTCAATTCTTTTTCTGTGTGCTGCATTGTTTGTAGTATTAAGCTTTAACATGAACACTTTTTATTATCGTCATAGCCGACAGAGCTGCAGCATACGTGCCAAATGTCCTGCTTTTTTATTTTCTTCACTCTGATTGTCACTCAACTCAGCTTTTGGACTTCGACCCAGTCCTTTTGTAATTGTCTATGCGTGAATGTGTGTGTGTTTTTGAAGGTGTGTGTGTGTGTGTGTGTGTGTGTGTTCTGCACTGTAATCCAGTGGTAAGGTTCAACACAGTTACTACTTCACGTGGCTGCCTTTTCTGTTCATGACTGAAGTCCTTTGCTGATGAGAGGAAAACCATGTGGCTGTTCAAAACGTGCGATGGAGTCAGCTGTGCCATAAATGTCTTACCCCTGCTCCGTCCCCCAGTGACCTCACCCAACTTTTCCAACAACCATGTCATCTCATCTCTACCTGAATCACACGTTTCCTCAAATGAGCCCCCTGACAACGACCTCCGAGCAGCTCCACTTGAAGAAATGCATCACTATCATGGATAGGGAGAGAGAGGACACAGACTGGCTGAATACAATTGAATTCCAAGTGTGCTTTGCATTTCCAGGACATTCCTTCTTTAATGTTGCGCATCATGTTTGTTGATCACATGTCTGACAGTTACAATGTCATTAAAGTCATGTACACCGTGGCAAAGTTAGAGAGAGAGCTCCCCGGTCTTTAATGTGCACTAAAGCAACATTGATATTTTAAACACTATTTCAAGATGTGTGTGTGTTTGAATGTTATTCTGATCACAGAGTATAATTATTTTTCAACTGGTGATTATTGTTGCTAAGAGGACAGATGCCAACGTATAATCCGCTCTAATCCATGGTTAATTTCAAAGATGTAAAAGCAGGCCGGGAGTCAGATTAGAGGTGTGATGTGTTGTAATCTGTCAAACAACAGTCCTGTTACATATGGAGGAGCCGCTCCTCAACACTGTTAGCTGTACAAAAACTGTCTGCATTAATAAATCTCAGTTTTTCTGTTCATTTCATGTATTTCGTCTTTCTTTTGAATAGAAGAATACAACAATATAATCGTTTTGGGTCTTGTTCATGAAGAAAAGTATAGCGGCTTTCCTGAACAATGAAGCTGCTGAGAGGCTAAGGTTGGGCCTAATATCTGACACGTTTTTAAAAGAATACTGTGATACGTAAAATAAGTTTGACTTTTTTATTCACGTAAAAAAGATAATCAATGTAACTTATGATAACGTGAATTAACTCATAATCACAGTGAGCCAGAAACAATAGCGGTCAACAAAAAATACGGCAACCCAGCTCACCCCCTCTCTTCCACTGAGAACAAAAGGTGAACAGGTGAGTTAAATCAATACAACATCTCCACCTATACCCATGTGACCCCGATATCCCCCTACTCAATAGAATCCTAATAAATTATATAATAATCAATAACCCAAAACACCAATATATAACAGACTACATACCTTAACCTTAAATAATTACTACAAAGATAATTACATTCATCCATGGCTCCAAAAAAAAGATTGTAGGTCTCTCAATTTTTCACAATGTCTTGTCTGAACTGTAAGAACTTTTATTGTCAGTTTACAAATGGAGGCACAAGCAGAATGAACACAACAAGAAAAACACAAACATACATAACTCTTTCTATCGGTAGTAAAAGACAAATTAGAAGCCGTCACTGTTTGAGGCAGCCAAGACTTAAATGTACCGTGATCCTTTCCCACATGTCATACTGTTACACGTGTTACACAAAATAGCTTTTTATCACAATGCCTGACATTAAAAAAAAAAAAAACAACAGAAACTGCACACTTAATTGAAATTGTCATAAAATGTTCTTTTTGCATTAGAGCCCGACCGATGAATCTGCCAATGGATAATATCGGCCGATATTAGCTCCAGGGACAATCGGTATCAGCTAATTTTATTGCAGATATGCGCCGATATAACTAGATTTATTATCCAGTCAAATAGCCTTTCATTTGAGTATCATTGGATTACACTAGCAGTTCTCTTCCACCAGCAGAGGGCGCAATAAGGATTATAACAAGCATCATCACTCTCCAGAGTGTCGAGCTGTGATTCACGTTCATGAGATGTTACTTTAAGTGTGAGTGATTGTGAGTGTGTGTGTGTTTGTGGTGTGGGTGTCTCTGTGTTTAAATGTTTGGTATTATGTTTTGGATTTACCTTTTATTTTGATTTTGTATTATGATGATTAATTTATGTTTTGGAAGGACCCCCTTGAAAATGAGATGATGCATCTCAAGGGGCTATCCTTGAAATAAATTACAAATTACAAATACTTTGCAGTTGAGTGGGCATCTTTATATATCTTCTCCACAAGCATTCGATAACTGCATGTGAGGGATCAACGCATCTATATATATATATATATCTCTATCGCTACAGAACAAAGATAGACCAAGAAAGATATCGGCTGATATATCTGACTTTTTCTCTTCCTATATAGATATTGGTATCGGTCGGGCACTAGTTTGCACTGTTAATGTTTATGAATAAGGTTTACAGGTTTGAAACTATTAGTGCATTAAAATGATTTCAATACTGTGTGCCAGAGTTAACAGTTCTTGTATTTGTCAAAATCTGTGGAAAATTAAGTAAAAAGTAGGCTTTGTTGAAGCTCAATCATGTTTGGTTAATACAAAACTTATCATATGGAATGTAAACACAAAATATGTCAGACCCCCCAAAATGTAAACTTTATAACTAAGCTTAATAAAATACAACTGTACTGGAATCTATTTCAGTTACCCATGAAGTTGCAAAGAGTTAAAGTAATGAATCCTGTAAGATCGAATCTGAGACCAGAGCAGGCCAGAATAAAGTGGTACAACATTATAGCATCACACCCTGAGCAGTACATCAGAACATAACAGCCACCCTGTGACTATCATCAATGGTTTATCAAATATTTGATGTCCTCCACCATGTGAGTATTATAAATTCCAAGAGCTGCTTTGAAAAACTACCAGTTAAGAAGCATGATGCAGGTTTGTGCTGATAGATGATGATGATGGCTGCAGCATTCATACACCATTAAGTGTTTGTGTATCTGCAGAACAAATACTTCTTACTCTTTGGTTTTAATGTTGCTGACTCGGTCACTGATGTCGTCAAAGTAGTTATCAGTGAAGCGAAGCATCTGATTGACAGCACTGAGCAGCAGGATGTCACAGTTTGGGTTCACTTCCAACTCCTCGCTGTAGTTCTTCACCGGAACAACACAGGACAACGGCAGACCGAGCCGACTGCTGGCCTCCTGCATCTGGATAACAAAACACTTGTTAAAAGCTAAAAATTAATTGTGCTAACTTTACTAAGTTAAACATTCTTTATTTGTCTTACCAATGAGTAAAAATTAGGTTATGAAATTGTTGATTATGGCTTCCTACCTTTACCAAGATAAACAACTTTTAAACAAAACTTGCATGACCAATAAATGTAAATGATGACTTTGATTACCTGCAATCTTACTGATGTATTAAGCTTTATAGTACACGTGATACGTGAAGGTCGTATTTATCTGATCAACTCTCAGCCTCAAAGATTATCTCTCCATTTAATGGAGAAAAAAAACTTCACAGGACATTTTTATACTTTTCTTGCGACTTTTTGATCCAGCAGATGTCGCTCTTGACCACCAGCATGAAACCAAAACAACTCAAGCTGCATTGTTGTGTTAGCATGCTAATGCTAGCTCTCTTTATTTTGCTCGTAGCTTCACACAGCATGTAAATTTATACGAAATGACCGTGATCTAGAAACGCTTACATTCAAATAAGCAGTGAGTACAGTATGTTATTCTTCTTTTCTCTGATCCCTCACTTAAACAACTTTTATGTGTATGGGGATGAGCCAGCCGGCCGTCCCGTCCATGTAAACACGCTGTAGATACGGCTAGGACAACATCACAGACAGCAGGACTCGAGTGTCACACTCATTGTAGACAGTCATGACTCACAGAGTTATTTTCAGAGGATGTATTTGATTTTGATATTTATGTGTAAAATGTTGCACATTCATCCTTTAAGCATAAAACCTTAGTCCTCACCATTTGCTTAATGTATAAACTCTTGTAAACGTTTCTCACGTCCTCTAACACTAGAGGACAGGCTTCATCTACTTTGGTGAGCAGGATCAGCTGAGGGACTCCTGGAAACAACAAAGAAAGGACATTTCACTGGGGATTCTTTAGTGTCAGGTCAAAAATACACAAGTACTTAAAGGCCAAGAAGTCCAAACAAAGCTTCATTATAAAAACATGAATATTAACAATACATTTTAAAAAATACACAAGAAAAAAAATATATAAAGGATACCTGCTGCAAATGAAAAAAAAGTGTATTACAGCAAACATACTGCAAATACAGAACCAAACTTCTGCTCAGTTTTCTACAGATCAGCAGGAACTGTTACCTCTGGCCCAAGATAGGTCTAAATGTTACTGACCAATCAAGTTGATCTTTTTGCGGATAGCTTCCAGTGTCTCCTCCAGTTTTGAGGGCATGATGGAGACCTTGCAGGCATCAAGGACGTACACAACACAGTGGATCTTGTCCTTAAGCTCTGGACGCTCACGATATCCGTGGACATCCGAATGCAAAGGGGCAGAGGGGTTGAACTAAGATGTTCAGTAAAAAGAAAAAAAGAAAAGTTTGTTTAAACTGAAGTCAACTCAGTGGCTCATACTTTTAATATCCTGTTACATGTGACAAAATGCTTTACCTGATAGCGATCTGGCACATGGCCCTTAAGTATGCTGATGATGTCATCCAAGCCTACCCCCGGCCCTGTTTCCTCTAACCCCATGGTATCACACAAGATGATTGGCAGAGGTTTTCCTTCTCGCCCATCTTTCAAAGTGTAGGTGCGAAACTGTTGAACAAAGCAGAAAAGGAACAAATCACAAAAAGTAGCCAGGGTGAGGTTTTCATTTTGAAATCAGTCTCCACTAATGGAAATGATTAATAGTCGGACTGTAACCTGTGTGGTGAGGCTGGTGGTGGAGCATCCAGCCATGGCCTGACTGGTGACGTAGCCTCTGAACACAGAGTTGAGAGAATTGAAGAAGCTAGACTTTCCAGCTCCAACTGGCCCAACTAACAGGACCCGAGCCTTGGACACAGAGTTGACTAATGGTCTGTAGGTCCTTAATTTATCCATCAGCTCTGTTCTCTTCCTACAGAATCAAGAAAATGCTGATTGAAAAACAATTTGTACATACAAATCAGTGATAACCTGAAAGCTAGGACTGAGTATGGCACTGCATGCCCTGCCAAGCACATCCTCGTTGCCTATTATGCTGCCTAAAACACTTTTGTTATTTCATCCTAATAATTAACATGACTGTTTCTTAAGATCATTCTTTTCCTTACTTGATATATTATAGTACATTAAATCATAAGATATCCAGCTTACTCAGTTTCCCAGATTACAGTTCTCCAGGGGCTCTCCAGTGCGGTCATTTCTGTTAAAAAAAACACAAAACAACTTTTTAAAACAATGATCTCGTACCATCCACAATGTTTAACCTTTGTTCCTTGGTGAGGAGTTTCTATAATACACTGACAACATATGTAAGGAATAATTCATAGTGAGCAGGTTGACAGAGCAGACACTCATAGTGTTACTGTGTTGTTTAAAGCTCCTGTGAGGAGTTTTGAGCTGGTTATGAAAGACACTGAAATTATTTCCATAAACTGAATTTTAATGCCTGATAAGGTGATTTACAGCATGCTGCTGAAACAGCCTTTTTTAAATAATTTTCCACAAAGGTTAAATTTGGGATGCATGTTAAACACTTAAAGTAAAGAAGGATGAGATTTTCGTTATAAAATAAATAAATAAATCTTCACTTGTACTTGTACAGCAAAGACGTAGCCCCTTGCCCACAGGGGGCGCCAAAATCCACACAACCCAGAAGTTTCCACGTTCCTCACAGGAGCTTTAAGCTAATTTAAAGATAATTCATAGTTTCATTTATTTTTAGACAAACCAGATTCAGTTAGTGTCAGACACAACTACACTCCTACGATAAATCATAATAAGGTAGATTTTTTTATTCCAAGTGTTTCAATATCTCTGATAGCACGTCATCATCATGTTTGACAATCAGCATAAACCTCCCTCAGCCCTCCTTGACAATGTTTTACGAACACCTATCATGCCTAGAAAAGTGGTGGACAAACCATGCTGCTCCTATGAATGCCATCCATCATGAGAGTGGGGAATCTTCAGCCCTGGCTAGTGGCAGGTGTCTGCATTACAGCTTAGACAAAACATTTGTCCAGAAGTTTGGGTCACAGACTTGTAATTCTGATGCCGACTAGCAAGGGTGAAGACGTTTGATCATTTAGTTGACTAATTGTGCACATCCCTACTGCAGGCAGCAATTTTGCTTCTGACTAATAAAAACCTGGTCCAAAGTTAGTGCTGGAGTTTTTTCCTGCAAGTTATTATTATTCCCACAGTAAGTTAAACCTTCATTGGCGGTCTCTAACTACCTTCTACTCTAGATTTTTAGATAATCAAATGGGGTTGCTAATGAGACAGAGGACTAGGAAAATGCAAGCTTCTGTTGCATCACATCATAATCAACTTTTAGTATTTTAGCCATCTGCCTGATACAAGATACAACAACTCTTCACCACCTCTTCCTCGTTTGCTGTACCAAGAATATCTCGACAAATAACAGAAAAACAAGATATTCACTTTTATGAACTCACCCACGACTTGGTAAACTTCACACTCAGTCATGTTGAGGTCATTGCCATGCATTTCTGCAGCAGTGAAGTTGTAATGATTCCCTGGATTGCTGTGGACCGCGGGTTTGCTTCCATTACCAGAACCAATGCTTCTCCAAAATATGGCCCAGAATTACCAATCATTCTCACTGCATTAGCAGGACCTGTGACTGGATATTTGAGGAGCTTTTCTCCACTGAACGTGAAAAGGAAGGCCAGATCATCATGCACATACTGTCCTGACTGACTGAATGGTTGTTTGGTATAGCCTCCAAAAACATAACCAGAAGCATTGAAGCCCACAGAGACTGTGGGACTGCGGGTGTCACATTGTTGGTGGAAGGCTGCACCGGTGAAGCCATGGATGCTGGCCTTGTACAGCAGCTGCAGATCGAATCTTCCCAGCTGGGCGCAGATTTCTCTCTGCTGGTTTCTTGTAAGTCTGGGGTTCATGGTGGAGAGCTGGTCAGTTTTGTAACTGATGCTGAATAAATCTTCAGTGGTACTTTGGTGTCTAAATAGAAAAAGAAACAGATTCTTTATAAAATATAAACCGTAGGTTTGTAAAATTAGGGTAATGTAATTTATTAATTATAAAACATTGTATTAACCCTTCTGTATGTGTATGTATGTATGTCTATATGTATTAGAGGTGGGGAAAAAATTGATACAGTAAAGTATCATATTTTGTTTGCCGATATTAAATCATCTCATGGACCCAAAGTATCGATATTTTTATTATAATAATAGAAAATGTGCTTCTTTAATTTGTAATTGCTGAAGGGGTTGGTCAATTAATTTGGAGCAAGTTGCATTGTTAAAAAACATGTTAAAGTTTGCTTACACTGAAATACTAACAGTCCAGATTGTAAGGTGCATGCAGCCTTTTACAGGGTTTTACTTTGATCACAGTGTTGGTCATTTTGGAGGCTTGACTTCCTTTGTGTAGAATTAATAAGACTGAAGTGACATGAATAGACTGAGAATGTTTTCTTATTAGACAAAACAGTTCTTGATTTGGACATAAAATGCAGTAAAAAAGTTAAATCACAATATATTGTATCACAATTCTAAGTAGACTATCACGATAATATCGTATCATCAACTCCTAGTACAGTATGTATGTAGGCATGTATATTTGTATGTAGGCCTATGTATATTTGTATGTACAGTTTGAGCTCTGAATCTGAAATGCTCATTTACAGATTCATTTGCTTTAGATGCCACACATATGCCCTTATGTCTTTCGGTTTTACCTCTTCATTTGATAAAATATGCAAAATATGCTTTGTCAGTCTCAAAGGTAAACCGAACAATAATAAAAATCCCACCTTGTCCCTCCATTCATCATCAGGGTGTTTCAAGCCTGTTTGAAACTACATTCCAACATCACTCCTTATTTCAAATGAACTATATGTAACTTTCAAAACGGAGCTGTCGCAGAAGAACCGACCCGAGGAAAACAATTATAGCCTACAGGCAACACAAACAATGAACATCTACGTTTCCACATCAGTTAACCGTTCGCTTCATGGGCGATAAAAAACGATGTATGTAAAAAGTTAGGCTACATAATAGGACCCACATGAAATAGTTTCCACTTTCTGTTAGAATTATTCAAAAATGGTTACTTAAGTTCCTACCGCTGGATTTAATGGTGTTATAAAAACAATCTGTTTATCCAACAATCTGTGGATAGCAGAAGCTCCACTCCAACCCTATCTTATTACTAGCTAACTTTGACTAAAAGTGTAATATTAAATAAAACTCTTCGTGTTTGTATCCTTACCTTCTTGTCTTGTAAACAGCTAGGGAGGTGGCTGGACCGTCTCAGTGAAGAGATGAATGTTAGACAGACAGTAAACTACAGTAGGCGGGGATGGGCTTTCTGGTAAAATGAAACTGAAAGTGACTTCACTTGAATAATTTTGCTTTAGTGTGATCCTTAAACAGAAGCGTCAAGTTAAGTGTGTGCGAAATCAATCAATCAATCGACTTTACAAAAAGAGCTGATCTACAGTATAGACTCTAGACTTTACTCTTTGTTGTATTATTTACAAAGACACACATTAATCCACCATGAGCAACGTTTAGTAAAGTACTGTGGCAAGGAAACACTTCCTTAAAGAGGCAGAACCAGTCATGTTGAACAACCATCTGCAGAAACTGTGCGGGTCTTGAAAGTGGAATAAAGGGAGATGCAGAAAGAAAGAGAAAATGAAATAGCCTATTAATTTATTCATATGGCTACAATACCAGTAATAATGGTAAAAGTATGTGTAGCAGTATTAGCAGTAGGCCTATTAGCACAGTGTTTTAATTTGTTATAATTTGTTTGTTCTAACGTGAACATGCATGGCCCAGAAAATCAGAACTGATGATTAGAGACCGAAGGTAACATTCAGGTTCTATATCAGGGGTGGGGCAACTGGCGGCCTTGGGGCCACACGCGGCCCCCATCAACCCTCAACGTGGCCCTCAGGTCAATTTTTACATATCAATTAATTGGAAACATGAAGAAAAAGTGGCAAAATCGGCCATGAAATCATGAAAACCAGAAATATGTCCATAAATAATATTTAATCACTGGTATATGTTGAGTTAAATTTGAGACATAATTGACTGTAATCGTTTTTGTATACTATAATTTGGCCCCCTGGCAGTGGGAATTTAATGAATGTGGCCCTTGCTGTGACTAAAGTTGCCCATCCCTGTTCTATATTGTAACAAGCAAAGAGATATACAACATGTAGTGCAGTAGAAGTATATTTTTTAAAGATAAAATGTATTGAATTAACTGTAGAAGTAAAAATGAAAAATACTCTTGTAAAATACAGATTTTCTAAAAACATACTAAAGTATTCCCAAGCAAAGTTATTATATTTTGTTATTTTGCAACCCTGTTGTAAACTAACTCTCTGAACTGTTAAAAAAAAAAAAGAACTCTTGTCTAACGTGTCACCTATTGATTTTTTTCAACATCTTGCCTAAAAGATAATAAACACCTCCCAAATGGTTTTTGGACATTTGTAACCAGACTAAAAATACTTTCACAAATCAGTTCAGTTTTAAAGTCTGCATTTACTGACCTCCAAACCATCACCTCAAAATAAAAAATAATGATTACAAAACATTCCTGAGAGAAATTGAGAATTGTCAAAATAAACTTGACATAAAATGATTATTTATAACATGCTTTTAAAATAGCCTTTTTATGAAGCAAAGTAGTCATTGAAATGAAGAGAATATGGTTCATTTTATTGCAAAATTCATGATTATAAGAGATTCACCAGGAGAGCTACCTGCATAAAGAGCATGACACAGCTGGCAGGAGCAAGTGATGTCAATAACATCATACACACACCAAAAATACTTGAATTCTCCCTCATCATGAGAGAAAGTTTCAAGTATAAGTGAATTGGTTAATGCTGTAAGCTTTTTGCCAAAACAGTAGACATAACACACAAGGTAAAAAAGAAGTGTAAATTAGATATCAACACCAGGAGTCAGTGATGTCATAAAGGTTTCAATCCAACATAAAGGCCCTTTAAATTAAAGTTGCTGCACCAACTCATTAGTTGATGATACTGAACCCTGGTTATAAGTCAAACTTTGGCTGGATGTTCTGTGGTTTATTGTCCTGGAAATACAGATCAGCATACTGCAGGATGTGGTCCACAGCACTTAGCAGAAGCACATCAGTGTTAGCATCCACATCCAACTCTGATGAGTAGTTCTTCACTGGGACGATGTAGGAGGTGGACATACCCAACAGAGCTCCAGCTTTAGCCATCTACACACACACACACACACACACACACACACACACACACACACACACACACACACACACACACACACACACACACACACACACACACACACACACACACACACACACACACACACACACACACACACACACACACACACACACACACACACAAACTGCGGTTTTAACACAATGAACTATAAATAAAATGACACTACGACAACAGAAAATCATTCTGGATTCTGGATATTATGAAACGATGAAGGTATAAGCTGGAAGTATCTCACTACATTCTGTCTTTTTATGGAACTGTTAATGGCTTGAACAACTGTGTGAATGACAGTTCAATATAAACGTCATCTAAGACTGTGGAGACAATGAATAAAGTTATTAGATGCAATATGTGCTTTAACATAACATCATGGGTGGAATACAGCTGTTCAGTAACATATGAGATTTGATCTTTTCTATGTTCTGTATAGAAACTTTTTGTTTTATTCATATGATTGTTATTGATTAAAATTTTTTATATATCATTACCAACAAAACAAAGGTACTAACAAAATAAATCATACAGGTGTGAGGACGTGTTGGTGATCAGAAGGCGATTATGAGAAAACACAAAAGGAGAGAGCGCTCTTCGAAAAGTAAAAATAAAAACTAACATAGTAACGTTTTAATGTTAATATTTAAAAACACATCAGTAGAATTTCAAAAGTACTAATAGCAACTTTTTTTTAAAGGTTTGAATCACAGATCAAAAATGGGAAAATGTCTTCATGTTTGCATTTCTTTCTCATTGTGGACAACATAAAGAAGGTCCTGAATAGGATTCAAAAGTAATGTCACTCTCTGGAAGCACATCCAAATTTTAATCCATCTACAAAAATATAATGGTTCAAATATTTGGTTAAAGTTGTTGCATCTTGAGTATTTACAGAGATAATAAAAGTCTGTGTTTTTTTCCTGTCTTCATCTACCTTTTAAGTTTTGATATTTTTCTCCTGACACATTATTATAGGATCTTATATGGAATTTTTTTTAACCTACCGTGTCCTTGATGACTCTGCTTTCGTAAACCTTGGTGACATCTTTGGCCGTTTCTGTACAAAGATGGTCTACGTGGGTGAGTAGAGCCACCTGGTGAACACCTAACAAGACAGAACATGGTGCGGTCACGATGGCTTTCAAGGCAATTTATGAAGAAAAAAAAGAACATACTGGCAGTTCAACTTCAACTTCATTTGTAAAAGATAATAGGTACAAGATGACTTACTTACTTTAATTTTTGCTTCTGATGGTGCAATAACAATAGGACAGAGTGGTTGTAATGTTCGTGTCACATTCATCTGTTTAAGTGAAAACTCTATGTGTTCCACTGCCCATGGCCCTTTCCTTACCCAGGTCACTGATGTGCTCTCGGAGCTGCTGGAAGGTGGTGCTGAGGCCTTTGGGGTAGGTCAGGACTTTAGAGGCGTCCACCACAAAAACAACACAATGGATCTTATCTTTGATGCTGGGCCGTTTCACAAAGCCCACAGTCTCAGACCTCACCGGCTGGTCTGGGCTGAACTGGGGGAGGAAAAAGAAAGAGGTAACTTCATCGTGTTGTGTCAAAGTGTGCCATCATGTAAAGATAATCTACAGCTAAGGTTGACTGGATTTTTCTCAGCTGGTATTTATAACTGACTAAACGTAAGGCATGAAGGTGAAGTAATCAGAGCATCATCAGTGATCTTACAAGTCCTGCAGTGAATATAAAGAGCCAAACCTCATGGTCCATAGAGGACAGGTCAACAGCATAGACCGATCATAAAGACATGACCAACAAAAGTGATGCCAAAACATTTGGGGCTCTCCCTGCTGTCTGGCTGCAGTATAGAATTATAGATCATAATCACTGCCTTCTCCATGTTAACAGATAAGAACGAAAACATATCTTGCCATACTATTAAAATAGTTCAGTAGTTTTTTATTATATCCAGCAGAGGGAGCTGTCTGTTTAAGGTTCTGTTATTTGACATCAGTAGCTGAAGAAGAGAGGAGTCAAAATAAGAGGAAGGATGTTTTGCACTTTTATTGTCACAAATTTAAATGAAATAAAATCGTATTTCTCATGAATTGACTTCGATCTCTTTTTTTTTTTTTTTTTAAGTAAAAAAATGTAGGAAATCATGGTAAGATCTTATCATTAACACATTATCATGATACATATTGTATCCTGTCATTTAATCCAGATGAGACCTGAGTCAAACTGAAGAGTCAAAACACATGTTGTTTAATCTTCCCCAAAAATGGTTTATGTCATACTTAGTTATATTTTGGCTGTTCTAGCTGATGCCTACTGCACAGAAGATGCACAATATGTCAGTGCCCGACGTAGGGGAGTTACCGATGAGACATTGCAGATTGGAGCAACTGACTGACTCACACTGTAATCCTCAAAGCCTTGCTGCAGGCCTATCCAGCTCACCTTGTGTCCCTCGGGTACATGACCTTTGATGATAGACAGGACGTCATGGAGCGTCAGGCCCGTCATCTCTCCATCTCCTAGGCCCATAGCATCACACAGAACCAGTCCAGTAGGATCCTCTCCCTTCTGACCACGGATGTTGAACAACTGCAGCTGACAAACAAAAGGAAGTTCATGGGATTGATGTCTTGAGACAGTTTAGTGAGACATTGCGTTAATGTAGATTAAATCTGAATGTAAGTTGACTATGTGTTAAAATCTTTAATTTCAACAGTCAGTTCAATCTGTAGCCAAAACATGCCTTAAACATGTTGAGTTCACTGATTTGATCTTAAAGACAACATCTGCTGATAATTACCATGAGATAAAAACACCAGATAAAGTTAGTTTGTGGACATTAACTTTAGTCAAAACTTATTACTGTGTAAGTTGATATCCCATAAATAACATCTAAGCTGTTCTAACTGTGTCAAAGGAGTAGAGGCACATCTCGACGTGCTTTGGAGTGGTTGGTCAAAATTATTTTCACAAGTAAAGGAGAAAGAGACCTCCATGCTTGTTTATCCCTCAGTTCTTTCATTTGTAATCAATCAAGAAGAGGGTTAAAAGTGTTTCTTCCTTGGTTTTGTGAATTGCTCAGTTACTTTCCTGAAGATTCCAGCAGAGCTGGACTAACTAAGGCCCAAGCTCAGGTATCTTACTTTTTAAAGAAGGGAATAATATGATACTGTTTCAGCAGTTTGCCTCAGAAACACATCAGCGCTCCTCTTACCTTCTTGGTGAAGCTGGTGGAGGAGGAGCCCACCATGGCCCGGTTCGTTACTCTTCCATTAAACGCCGACTGAACCGAACTGATAAAGCTGGACTTTCCTGAACCGAGAGGTCCCAGGAGGAGCACCCGAGCCTGAGTCCCCTCCCCACACCTCGGTCTGTAGGAGCTGATGGTCTCCATCAGACTTGTCTTCTGCCTGGATTGTAATTTTAGATACTTTCTGTTTCTGTTCACACTTTGTTGACATGGCAGGAGTGTATTTATGATTGAAAGGTATCAGGATATTTCAAGCTCAACTTTATTTAAAGTCCCAGTTTTTACTTACTCTTCAGTCCACTTCATGTCTCTCCATGGTGTCTCCAACTTCTGTTGAACTGGAGAGAGATCAAGAGTTGTTAAAGTCTAATAGAATACGTACTTATGCTGTTTTTTTTACTCAACTCAGAGTTGAAATTCTCAGAGAAGAAAAAAAAAGTAGACTAATAAATAGTCCATTGCATTTTCAATTAAATGTATTTTTCTAGCTTTAGGGATTAGATTAGCTAAATCTGTTGTACTGTTAAAAAAGGCTGTTTTTCATTGTGCCATCACTAAGGAGTTTTATTTCGGGTACATCTGATTGAGCCTTTTCTATGATGAGTCTACCTTTCCAGATAAATTTGACTGTGTATTGAGCCCTGTATGACGACATGAGTCTTTTTGATTACTTGATTATGTGATTAAGTATTGTGCCTTTCCATGTTGTGTGAAGCACTCAACATGCCGTAATGTGTCTTTCTCTGGTGTCTACATTTTCTCTAGGTGGATGGTTCTATACTGCTGTTTGGTGTATAGTTCCATATGCTGTGGGATTGATGTTTACATTACATCTATCCCTAGACCCGTGTGGTACATTGTTATGCTTTTATTTCATTTCACCTTTTTTTGAGATTTTTTCATTGCTCTCGATCACTTTTTCTATATTATATAGCCGCCTCTATTATATCGCTCTCCTTTTTTTGACATGTCATTATGTCAATTTCTCCTGATGTTTACAGTCAGGCTTCTACATTTATTATGGTAATTCTCCTGCTACTGCAGGTTATTGCTGCTGGAGTGGTGAACCATGCTAAATAATATTTCTTGTTTTTGCCTTTGTATTTATAATACATATGCATAGGTCCTGTGGACCTTTAACATGAATGTTTTGCATAGCTTTATTTCTATATTCACGTGACCTGTCCGGTGACCTGTCAGGTGACGTTCCTTGTGATATTAACATCAACTTAATTTGAACTACTTCTGGTGTGTGGACTTTTCTCACTGAGGAGTTTCCCTTGAAATGTTGGTACGTTTTAACACGTATGTGATTTTTGACTTGCATTATGGGCACTGTAGTCTTCATTTACTGTTTGGTGAATAGAAAAAATCAATTGTAAAACTATAAAAAGAAGACACTGCCTCCAACCTTTTTTTGTATTGCCAATGGTAGTCTTTGACCGCCATCTTGGTTTGGGACTTTTTAGAAATGTACCTGAAAATGAAAACAAAGGGGCATTCTTCACTATCTCTTTTAAAGTGGCGGTTAAAAAAGAGCCGGGAACATCTTTGGTGTCCATCGGTGGTTCAGGAGTCTGTCACAAAACAGGCATGATCAAAGGACTGAAATAAATCTATATTATGTAGAAAACCTATGGCCTTTTTGAAATCGTTCCAAGTATGGTTTCTTTCCGTGAGTACAGTATTTATATTCTGGCAACTGTATTAAGATTTCAAATGGGGCTGGTAGTTTAAGATCATTATGCTCAACTATTATTTTTATATGTTTTATTATATTTTTCGGAATGAACAGAAGTCTCCTTTTATTTCAACCTTGCAAAACCTTTGACTCTCCTAAGTATGATGCCTTGCCTTAGGTGACACAAAGGCATGATGCATAGTGTATGTAAAAGAAGTTGAAGAGAAGAGAGAAACTGCAGTGGAACAATAAAAATAAATTAGCAAACTATAGAAGACAATGGGACTAGCCTTTCTGTAATCTGTAGCAGTGTTGTCTTTGACTTGTTCACTCGGATTACTTTAGAATCTTACCTGAGAATGAAATAAAAGGTTTGTTCTCCACTGTCTCTTTTGAATCAGCTTTTGCAGCAGGAAGGTCTTGGACAAACTTGCATCCAAAGTTGAAGCTGCTGAAGAAAGCAATCACAAAGATCAGGTGGACAGAACAACGAAAGATTCAAGTATCAAAAGAAAATTCATTTGGTAGCGCTATCAATACAATTCTTTTTTTTTTTTATATGGCAAGATTCATCTGACAAAACATAAAATAATGCCTAGAATATTCAACTGATAGTTAGCAAAACACAACAATAAAATGAAAAAATCCAGCACAAAAGCATAAAGTTGAGCTCTGGGTGAATGGTCAACATTATTTATTTTTTTAGAACTTATTCATGGCTGAAGAATTTTACCAGTCTATGATTGTGATCAATAAGATTAGCTCAGACAAGCTGGAGTTTACCTGTAGCCTACTTAAAACTTTATTAATTCCCACTTTAGGCTGTTTCAAAATAAAAAATCCCCTGTAGAGCGATAAACAAAGACGAAACTGTTTAGTGTCAACGTGTTGACTAAAGAGGCTCGTTGTACCATCAGTTCTTTGTAAATAAACACAAATTGATAAATAAAAAGTAAATTGACGTGAAGTGACAACATGGCTTCTTATCATGACTGAGTCTACAAGCCAGCAGCAGGGACAGTTCAAAAGGCTGAGATAACCGCAACAGTCCAAAGCAGCTCGAAAACTACCAAAGGTTGACAGTTTACGAGTCCATCTTTTTAACAAGGTGCCAAATCTACCTGGGTGGCGGCTCGAATTTTCGTGTTGCTTCGTTCTGCATGGTAGCTGCTGTCTGAAGTTAGTCGTGGCGAAAAACAATGACAGCAAGCAGGGAAGAAAAAGAGGCGAGGCATTCGCTGAAGAAAAGAAACTGAAACCTAACAGTGAGTCTATTGACTGAGAGAGGCAGGAAAGTAAGTACCACAGTACCACTGTGAATGGTTTTGGGCTCAATTCTCAGTTCATCGTATAGTTACACAATATTATCTTTTCACAATAAGAGCATCTGGAATGCTTTTGTAAACAGCTGTAGTGAATTGCAACTTAACTTGTTTTTAAAGTGGAGAAATTGCATAAATGTCTGATGAGTAGCCTATAGGCGTTCCCAAACATTTCAGCTCAGGACCCCCAAAATAACTGTCCCTATTTTAGTAATTTATTGAAAGAAAGGCAAGAAGTTTAGCACAAATAATCTCCATGTATAAACTGTAGGACAGAGTAGAAATACAAAATTTGGTAAGCAGACACACAGGTGATGTCTGTGTGTGTTTCTATTCGTAGGAACCTACATTGTTGCACTTATGTGCTAACTTACATTTAAAGGATCACTTTCATTCTTACTCTATGAATGTAGTTGTATTTTAAATTCAGTTACTTTTTGTATGTACTTTCACAATGATGGGTAAATCCCATTTTCAATTATTTAACATTTTTATTTGGTTATGGAATGCACCCCCCCTCTCAGTGTCCCATGACCCCCACTTTAGGAACCACTGGCCTAGCTTTACAACAGTTTACAAACAGCAGCCATGCAACAAATTCTAGCTTTGTAATACTATAAAGTTTAGGGTTTTCCAGAGGTAAATTAACATCTTCAACGCTGGAGAATTGCTGCAGAACTATGATTCTGCTGGCTGGGAGGAGCCACAGTGTTATTGTATTTTAGTCTCAATAAGAAAGGGTTAGGGTTAGGGTTTTGTTTAACTTCTGCCTGTGGCCCTGGTTCTTCTACATTTTGTCAGAGAATTTTGGCTGATTTTGGCTGCAACTAAGTATTATTTTCGAATTTCTCTGTTTTAATAACTCTGTTGATAATGTAATTGTAGTCTGCTGTAAATAAGTTGCTGTATAATAGCATAAAAAAGTATCTTCGTGCTCTTTTTATACAGGCACATTTTTAGACCTTATAAACATTCACAAGCAGTAACATAGTTTGGTTATTAAATGTAATGTCTCTGTTTTTAATCATGTCCACTGGATGGCGCTCTGCTCTTGTGTTTGCTCAGGTGTTACATGACAGCAGAGGTCAACCTGTGGCCACAGAGAGAACCTTTATATTCAAAACAGCCCCAATACACAATCTCTGTTATCACTCAGTAACTTTTAATATGGTGCTGTGTGTGTGTGTGTGTGTGTGTGTGTGTGTGTGTGTGTGTGTGTGTGTGTGTGTGTGTGTGTGTGTGTGTGTGTGTGTGTGTGTGTGTGTGTGTGTGTTTAATGATGGTTTGATGACAGAGGTTTAGATCTGTAATCTAGAGCACCATTACACTTAATGTGTATGGGAAACCAGTAATGTCAACTGGTTTCTATCAGCATTATTACACATAAGTCATATCATAATATAGGGACACCAGATTGAATTTAACTCTTTTATTACATTTTTTAACAAAGAAATTTCAGTAGAGCGATTTATAATATGAATATAATATAAAACAAAGTTGGATTTTACTGGTTTTAAATGGTTGTGGAGCATATGAACTTGGTTACTTGGTTTCAGAGGATGTTACGTTCCCAAAAAACAAACCATAAACAACAAAAAAACAAATAACGTCCATAATTCACTTTGCAATGTAAATGCATTTTACGTCACTGAAATTGTCAAATATTTTAATTCAACAGTAAACTTCCAACTGCTTGTCTTTAAAATTAAAATTAATAGTCTTACGTACTTGTGCGTGTTTTTCATACTGTCAGCACACTGTGGACTTAAGGTGTTCCTGTAATTCACTTTAACCCGTTTAATTTTATTTAATTTTTTCCGGGGTCCTGTCTTCTGTCATTGCAGTGTTTTGGACTGGTTCCAACTCAACTTTCGTTGTTCTTCAAAGCCGCCTCATATTGTGATTCAGATCCAGAGAGCCCCAAAGGATCTGACAGCCAACAAATCACATCTATCAGATCTTCACTTGGTAAGGTTTCATTCAATCCCCTCCTGATTTTTATCACCATCATTCTAAACTGGCGTTTATTGATAAAGATAAAGATAAACTTTATTGATCCCCCATGGGGGAAATCTTTGCGTTACAGCAGCTCAAGAAAACAGGAAACAGGAATATAATTATTAAAAATAAAAATAGAAGTTAAAAAATCAAACATATTTACATCAGTTAAATAAAAAAATACAATAATAGAATATTACACGGTAATATTGGATTCATGTAGATCTAATTGTCTGAGGACTTTAATTGTATTATTAGTAAAAACATTACTTATTCCAATAATATGAACTTCTCACTTCTTTTTCTTGTCAGTGAAGATGATAGAGGTATATTTTCTGCTGCAAAACTCTCCTAAATGAAACCTAAATGAACATGAAAGAAAACATGATTTTAGGTTCTTTCAGGTCATTCAGGGGGCTTTATCAGGCCTGCAGCCTGTGACCAATCAGGCATAATAACAGCCCGCAACAAGACACTGCTATCTTTATGACCTTGTGGCCATGCATCGATTTTGCTTTGTCAGCTAAGTAGTTTAGATTCTTGGGGACCGACTTGGGAAGAATGGGACATTTTGAACAGTTTAGTGAAGGGTATTCGGGAATCTGAACCTGCCAAACTTTATGTTCACCAACAACCTTTTAAGAGTCTGATACATTAGTTGATGTCAGAGCTGCTTACCAACATCAAAAATACAACCTGCTAATACCTTGAGGTTATGACTGGGTGTCATTAAAAGTGAGTGTAGCAGTTGATGGTTGAACAGCAAGCACAGATAATAGGGTGTTATTTTTGGATGGAGGATGTATCCCTGCTAAAACCGGATAGCCACAAACCCAAACAGATTGGCCCTGTAAGAACAGAACATACCTGATGAAACAGTCCTGACACCAGACACAGGTGTGATGTGTTTATGATTATGTGTACGACACACCTAAAAAACTTGTGTAATCACATCAGGGCTGTAGCCAGGCTTAGTGGGTCCTGCTTGTGACTTACTGAATATATTTATTTTCTTCCTGTTTTAGCTAAAAATCTTCTGTCTTCTGGCTATTTAAATCTTACCAGAAACCCAAGCACATAAGTTAAAAATGAGGTACCTTAATTAAAGAAAATATTAATGTTTAAGCTGTCAGAATGTAGTAATATAGCAATCTATTGGGGCCATTTATGTAAAATGACACCAAAATAAAAATAGATTCATTGTTATGAGGCCATACACAAGAAAGAGTATTTCATACCCTTTTTTTGATCACAGGATAAAAGTTAGGTAAGTAACTAAAAATTATTGTAGCAGGATTGAAGCAGGAATAGTCTGTGATTTTATATTATAATAATTTATAATATTATTTATAGAGACCCACCATTAAGGGTCTGTGTCCACTGTCGGTGTTTTTGGGGCTGGTAGCGCCTGTTTCCAATACAAAACCAGTGCAGTTCTGTTGCGCCGTTCACAGCGCTCTCAGTTGAATATGGTTCAACTTCTGAAACACCACCGCACTTGTCAATGTCATTTCTCCATCACTGACCTATCAGAATGGAGAATGGGCAAAACTTCTGATCTCAACTTTGTCAACAATAATCGGTTTATCTCATGCACCAAGACCTCTTTTTCAAAGTACAATTTTCAGGTCTAGAGCTGTTCTCAATGCCGGGACATGAACACACACACAAATATGACCATTGAACAAGCACCTCTCAACAAACTCCCACTTAAAAGGCGAAAGGAAAGTTAAAATAGAATATAACAATAGAATTATCATACAGGTTCAAGAAACCATGTGAAACACTTTCAATGTTTGACCAATGCACCGGCCCTCTGTGCTTCTGAATGCTGCTACTTTAGAAAAAAAAACAACAACAACAATGTGCTGAACATGTGAAATCCTAATATGTGTTATTCAGTGACAGAGGCCACCCAGACTTACAAACATTTACCCATACTAAATATTAAGGTGTTGTGTGTCTCCTGAAATACACTCATGTTCTATAAGCCCTGATGCCCAGTGTGAATGTGCTCAGTCACTGGAAGGGTCACAGCTTGTCCTTGGCATTGCTGCATTTGTCTTGGAAGTGCAGGAATAAACTTGAGGACAGCTAGTGATATGAGCCAATGTGCCTTCACAAGGTGGTTAATAACTCCAAGTATAAATTTCTATCCAGGAACATTTCCCACCAAATGTTGTTGCAAGCCAAATTGTCATGTAAGCGCTGCAGTGGAGGGGCTTACTCTTCCTCTGGGGCTGTGTGTTTGGGTAGTTTAGTCACATCCAGCTCTGACTCAGCAGCTCCAGCTGATATCTGTTATGCAGGGCGCTGCAGGTGGAGAAGGAGGAAGCGGGGGGAGCTGTCTAAACAGGGAGCTATGCTGACTATGTAGCCGTGTGACACAGCAGTCTGTTTTAGAGGCAACACACACCGTCTTCACCACCACCCTTATTCATCTAGAGTAGACTATGTTACTCACATACACTTAACTCCTCTCTGTCTCTGTGCTTATAACACTGCCAGAATCCTTCCTAACCCAAAGAGAAGTGAGGATTAAGTTAAAGCTCTGCAGTGATTTGGATGCAGACCGGACGTAGGAGAGGTCAAGAAAATTAACAACTGGGGGTGCTTTCCAAATTCTTTCAGAGCCAATTTCAGACAAAACAGATGATTTTTAAGTTGCTGAGAAGAAAATGTATTGTGTTTCTTTAATTAAAAAAATCAATACAAGATAAAATCCCTCAAGTAAAGCACATGCTGAGGTCAATAAAAAGGATTTCCACTACCTTTACACATTATGTGAAGTCCACATGGCGTTTAGTTATACAAAGTTTGTGCGGGAATAAATGAAGTCATTTAAAGATCGCACAAACAGACCCAGCTTTACAAAATACCTGAATCATGGGACTTGAGCTGAAATTCAAGTATTATCCATCTATCCC